GGGGGGGGCAGAGAGGGTGCGCAACTGTGCGTATGAAAATGTATAAATATGTGAGATTAAGAGACAACTGGGTGACGGAGAGTTAAGGAAGGAGAGACAGCATTGGGAGGGAAAGGATGGAGGGCAAAGGTTTGACTGTCCAGTGTGTTTTTCTTATGTGCTACGTGACCCTGTTGACTGTGTGTTTGTTTGTGTCTCCTTGTAAGTGTGTGTGTGTGTGTGTGTGTGTGTGTGTGTGTGTGTGTGTGTGTGTGTGTGTGTGTGTGTGTGTGTGTGTGTGTGTGTGTGTATGTGTGTATGTGTGTGTGGAGTTTCATGTGTTTCTGTATAATGGCAGCGCACATTCCACGGCGCACATTCTCTTGTGTGCTCATCTGCTATATAAATACAAAACAAAAACAATGAATAAAAACAAAACCAAATTTGCAACCAAACCCCAGCCACCTCATGATTCACACCTTCTTCCCTTTTATACATTTGACACATCATTAAACTCAAGTACACTTTTTTTGTTTTGTTTTTAAATTGTACAATAAGAGCAGTCCGCCTCAGTTCTCCTTCCTGTTCCACCAAGAGTCTCTCTTTCTGTCTGTCTCTTCCACTCTGTCCTGCCTCCCCCTCTCCCCCCCTCACTGAGAGCTGGCCCTCTCCAGCACGCGCAGGTCATAGTTCTTTCTGGCGGCCCTCAGTTTGAAGAGGCTGGCTCCGCTGTTGTTAAGTTTGAAGGAAGCACTCTGGGCGGCCATGGTGCTGGGGAACACGGCCACGACGGTGTAGAGGTGAGCCGGGTCGACTCCCTTCCCCCCCATGCAGGGCCCGAGGCCGGCGGCAGCCCCCGGCCCTGCAGGCCCCCCCCCGGGACAGGAGCCACAGCCCCCTCCCCGGCCTCCCTGGGGCTCCTTCAGCCACTGGATCTTGGCACCGCACATGGACAGCTGGTTGAAGAGCTTCTCAGCCTCCGGTCGGGAGATCCCCTCCGGCAGGTCCGTCACCTCCAGGACTCGACTCACCACTGCACACAGAGACCGGGGGACGTTAGGGTCTTTACATCAAACACCTGATTCAAAGACCTGACATGTCTGTTTCAGACTTTTAGCAGCGTGCATTAGCGCAAAAATCTGACGCCAGAGGAATCTAACTTGGAAAATCAATATGGCTCCTGGAATACTGAAATTCAATTGTATGTTCATAATAAAACATTGATTATTAAATAACTACAAATACTACATCTTTTTATAGGACCCTCTCTTCTCTCATCAAATCCCCCAAAGACGCTCTAGGTCAAACAAATACCTTTGAACTGAAAATGCATTGAAACACAATGTGTTCATTTCTATTTAATGGCAATCACAAAATAAGGAGGAGTTTGTGACAGGAAACTAAGGGAAAAAAAGCTATTCTGAAAATAAACCTTTTTGTATTTGAAATGTATTTATTAGGATAAACCCCTTGAGATGCACCATCTCTTTTTCAAGGGGGTCCCGAGCACACGGTGTGCTGCCCTCCATTATCTACCATCTCTTCTCCGAGAACAGAGCGCTCCGAGAACAGAGCGCTCCTCTCAGTGCCAGCAGAAACACTTCAGGACATCACTGGCAGAGGATATTGTGCTCGGTGAGGATGCACGGCTGACTTACCAACATCAGTGGTGCCGAGGTCTGTTGATTGAGATTTGAGTGTTTGTTTTTTCCCTCGTGCCCCGTGTTTCATTACTCCTTGGCCCTGAACACATCAAATGTTTTATTAGGCTTATTATTACATGCAGTTCCACAGCAAGGCACTAGGTGGGGGTGAAAGCAGTCAGTGTTTGGTAAATGGAAACTCCAGAAGACAAATATCCAGCTCAGTGTATTATGGCTTGGATTGAAACGGTTACATGCTGCAAAGGACGATTTCAAACTATTTCCACAGCCAACATGTTATGGTTGGAACTGAGGAAAGTTGCCACTGTCCCACAGCTATATTTTATTTATATTCCTGGGTGACTAGTTGGTCACTAACACATTTCTATCACCCTCAACAACATGTAAAAACAAATGCAGATATAAGAATTACATTTATAATAGTACAAAATATGTTCTTGTGTTGTGACAATAATAAATGTCATTGTTTGTCTTGACAAAGGACAAACTGGAAGGCGTACATTTGACATGGTAGTGTGTTTAGAAACATGTTGGAGCTTGCGATTCATGATGGCTCCATTTAAGCTAGACGTGAACTGAATTAAAAAAGCGATGCATTCTTGAAATGTCTGTAAGAGCAGAATCAATCTGAGCCTTAAGATGTAGAAGGCTGGAGTTATGCGTTACAGCGGCCTGCCAGTACTGACCTGATGGGAGCTGTAGGAGGACTGGCCATGCATGAGGGGGGGGCACAGGCTGTACTGGAGAGGCTGCCCCAGCAGGGAGTAGCGCCCATCACCTGAAAAACAGAAAGCACCAGTTAAAGTCTTGAATCCTAAAGAAATTGACTAATAAGTCCAATAAATAATATATAAAGATCAAAGCATGTTCCTGCCATCTTAAAAAAGAAGGTGCTTGATAGATTTCTTGTCGATAGGTTTTGAAATCAAGATGTACCTTTAACACGACTGAAGAGTAAAACATTTGTAAAGCACACCAAGCAATGAGAACTGGGTCAAAGGGCCCAATGAAGCTCATTTAGGTATAACAGCCCTGGGTCATATTGATATTACTGTGGATCTCTATCAGTAAGGGTCTTGCGGCTCTGTGTGTGAAAGGTGAGGTGAAGCCACGTGAGGTTTGCCCTGGTGGCACAGCACCACTGGTGTGATCCTGCTGCTGTTGGCTCAGGGCCAACAACCACCTGACCAGGTTAAAAAGTCACTGTGGCACAAACAGGGGTTAAAGCACACATTTGTAATAGTTGTGACATTCAAAGTATACACAAATAGTTATGGTTTACTTTGACTAAGATTAAACCAAAATTACCAGACTTTTGACCAGACTAGCAATTGGTGAAAAAAAAAAAACATGGCGAGTTTAATAATTATGATTAGAAATGAAGAAGGATTGAACACAGGAGAAGAAAAAAGTAATGTCCACCACCTGGTCTGCTGTTTGTAGTTGTGTTGCTGTCCCTGTTACCAGGTAACGTACAGCTGTTTGTGTGTGCAGGTTTAAACCTTCTCTCTTCTTCTTCATTTGTACCTTGAGCTGGTCCTCCGGGCCGGGGGAACTGTGAAATGAGGGGTAGTGGTCCCAGGCCGGGACAGACGCTGCTGACGCTGCCGGAGGGAGACGGGGTGGGAGACTGAGTGGGGGAGGCCAGGGGACTCGTCAGCTGGGTGCTGGCCTGAACACAAGGAGAAAAACCAAGAGGGAAAATATTTAAAAAACATGAGAGGAGTAGTGCCGTCTTTAATCCTCAGTTTGACCAATAGGTGACTGTTGAATAAATACATGTACATGCATAACAGGATGACCCCCCCCCACTGGTGAGGAAGATGTTGTGTGTGTACCTGCGGAGTGTTGTCTGGTTTGTAGAGCTCGCCCGGCTTGCTGGGCCTCTGCTCGATGCTGTAGTATTTGCACGGGTTCCACTGGACCAGGGGCGGGTTCTGGGAAGGCTGCGGTCCGTTGGGGACGCTGAGCTGCATGACCATCACCCCGGGCCCAGGAGGAGGAACGCCTGAGGGAAACACAGAGCATGACATACATGACAGCTGGAGGAGCTCAAAACAACATATAGCTATAGCTATAGCGCTCTCTCTCTCTCTCGCTCGCTCTCTCTTTCTTTCTCGCTCTCTCTCGCTCTCTCTCTCTGTCTCTCGCTCTCTCGCTCTCTCTCTCTCTCGCTCTCTCTCTCTCTCTCTCTCTGAAAAACAAACCCTTAAAATATTAAAACATTTTAAAGACTGAGGCAGTTTCTCAGCAACTAGTGCTTTTCTGCAGAGAACGTGTAATTCACACTACCAGCGTAACAAGATGAAGCACGTTCTTCATCTCAAACACATTTAATATGCTTCAGGAAGACCCAAATCATAGGTTTATTGTTGGATTTAGTCTCAAAGTGGAGGGAAAGTTTAAAATCAAAACCTGAAACCAAGAGTTTGAGTGAGAAACCGACCAATCGTTGTTGTTCGACAAATCAACATAGAGCTGAGTAAACGGCACAAACAGGAGCAGAGGTTGAAAGGATAAAGTGACTATCGTTACGATCAACATTTACTTACTAGGTTTGTGATTTCTTCAAACATTTCTTTTTTAAGGAAATCGATGAACAAGTTCAACCTGTGAACCCTGTGTACCTCGCTTTACCTTTACCCTAAATACCTTTCACCTGATTCGTGGGTAGGGCAGTTACAAGTAGGGCATCTAAGTTGCATAATACTCCAGACATTCATTTTGGGAGAATAATGCTCACAAAGAAGATACAATGAGTATATAATACATTAAACGTTCAATGTTGTTTATGAAATGTTTAACTAATCGCCCTTCAGTCTCACCTGAATATTGCTGCTGCAACTGTTGAGGGTTGCAAGGGGACGGCGACTGAGTGATTTGATACTGCTCAGAGCTGGGGGGCTGCAGGTAGCTGACTGCCGGGCTGCCGGGTCACACACACATAAAGGGGAGAGAATAAATGCAAGGGAAAGGTACATATACATACAAACACATACATACAGGTGAACATAAAACACAACATTATTATAAGCTGTTTCTATCCGGGTCTTAGGAGCATCCATCGCCCAAACAATTATTCAGGCAAAAATGTCAGAATGCCGCTTTCAGACTCCGAGACATGCAGAGATCCTGCTACTTTCTGTATATCATAGTTATCTAAATATATTTGGATTTTGAACGACCAAACAATTATTAGAGAAATGAGGGAATCAAAAAAGGGAATAATAATGAGTTTGCGTTCAGACATACCTTGTGCTGCTCTGCTGTGTGGGGGTGATAACACTGTAGTAGACGGGCATGGGGCCCTGGACCGACTGGCTGACCGGCACCATCACCTGCTGCTGGTACTGCTGCTGCACCACCTGCTGGCTCTCATTTCCCACTGGTACCTGCAACAAGGGAAAGGGCAAGAGAGAAAACACCTAAGGAGAAGTTCTGAGTGCTGTCAAAGCTAAACAACAGTTTGGATCAAAGAAGACCAAACTCACAGATGGATTAACTCCCGTCATGATGTCATTATTACTTGGTCAGACACGTGTTGCTGTTTCAAAAGCAAATGTCAGTCTGTTTTTATCTCGTTATTTGCAAGCGTTAAAAATAGTATTCAAGTAAAGGTATTGGGGTAAGTTTACTCAAGTACTGTAATTAAGTACAATTCTGAAGTACCTGCATTACATTGTTTTACTCCTACTCTACTTGAGTATTACCCCTTTCCACCTCTACACGTTTTTAATATCTTAAGTTACTTTGAGGATGCAAAATATAAACAAGAGATACATTATGATGGTTATCAGTAAGGATACAATTCTATTGATCACCTGGTCAAATTGACAAGCAATGCATGAAGCACTTAAAATGATCTGCATATTTCCACATTGATAAATCTGTAAATATCATCAAATGATATCATATTTATTGTACCGAACTGGGCCATTTGCATCAAGTAAGATACTGAATGAGGACTTATTTCCTCATTATTTTACAATGTGGTACTGATCATTTTACTTGGACTAAGTGAAATATTTGAGTACTTCTCCTCCACTGGTTGTGGGAGTCTTTTGGCTGTAGCTGACCCGGCAGATGAGCAGCTATTTCATGAAAATAAAATGTACAGTAACCTTTGAATAATGTGCATGTTTGCCACGTTATCAATAAAGTGTTATTCAAAATAAATTGTTTTCAAAAGTGTGCACCAGGTGGAGCTGTTAACCATGCCAAGATCAGCCACATGTATGTGGCCACTGGTGGCGCTTAACAAAGTCTCCAGGCAAGGCACATTTTTTATTGATAATAGCAAAACCATCAAAATGGCATTATTTTGGCTGACTTTAAACTGTCCATACCTGATATGATGGCATCTGCGGGTACTGAACCATTATGCTCTGCATCTGTCCTCCCATGCCGGCCCTCTGGGAATTGAGCAGGCCGGGGTTCTGGGGCTGCTGCACTCCCATCATGCCCTGGTAGCTCGGCTGCTGGCTGGGCATCATGGTCTGGAGACCTGAGGACAGCAGAGAAACTATTTGAAAAGGCGAATGATAAAGTAAGAGTATAATACAAGAGAGGAGGAGAAGAGAAGAAGGGTGGTTGGGCCTTTGACTGGAAGGGGAACATCACATTACAACAGGCAGACGTACAGATGACTTCAAGAAACACAGAAACTCCATTTCAGAACAAAACATTGAGTTTACTTGGATGATGACACAAAGGAAAAAACACATTTATCTGGATGAACTTGACATTTTTATAAAGTAAAAAATGCTAGATACCTTGGAATGTTAGCATTTTATGTTTGCATTTCCAAATGTTTATCTTTGAAGCTATATGGAGAAAGCCAACAAGCTTCATACCGTCACAAAGCTCATACTTCAAACCACGCAGCGGCCATGTGCATGATGTAAGGAAAGACTGACCGCAGTGTGCATGATGGATTTGGCAGCCTTCGCTATGAGCCAGAGTCCATTCTGGTTGTCGATCTTTTGCTAACTGTACAAACACATAATCAACCTTGACAGTCCCCAAATGAAAGAGACTGAGGGATAAAGGTGTCAAGGTCTTCCGAGAAAAAAAAGAAACAGCTCTATTTTGGTCCTAGCCTATTTGATTTGGCAGGACAATGCAGGCGAAAGGTTGTTTAAAATCAACCTTTTACCTGGTAGACAGAGTATTGCTGAGTCATTCTTTTTGCAGCTGGAACAACATAATACAGTAGCATAACAAAATGTTCAAACTGACCTGACTGCTGTGTGGGCTGAGGCATGGCTTGTGTGCGCTGCGCAGGATAAGACACCTGGTGGGAGATGGGCTGGGGCACACGGTACTGCTGGCCTGAGCTGGGATACTGACCAGGAGGGTAGTATGACACCTGTATCTGGAGACAAAAACACACGTATATAGAGATTCAAATACTAAGAGAGAAAAATTACTTTGGATGAATAAAAGTGACTCCGTCTTTCCTGGTATTGCTCAGTGCCATTCCTATACTGAGGCAATACCAGGAAAGATTGTATTTTCATGGCATTGAGAGCACATTATTTCATTTTTAAATGTTTTATCAATAATGATCGAATACTTGTATTATTATATCTCAGTTTAGGCATCCTACAGTGACTCTTCTTTGCCACTTGTGACAGCAAACACAAGCGCTGTGAATAACAGTGACATGTGTGAGTTGATGTTTCACTCTTGTTGGACCTGTCCACCATTGAGAGCAGGAAGGTCCAGAACTCACTGTTTTCCGAGGTGTATACAATACAAGTTGTGAAATAGTTGCCAACAATTAACGTACCTCCCTTTGAGAAAGTAGTTCCATCTACTGAGGATGGGAGGTGCTCTAAAATCAATACTTAATAAATGATTCACTATATTTACTAGCTTGTTGCCAACTTTGTCCGTCTGGTGTTTAGTGCAGGATGGTAAAGTCTGAACACAGTAAACAGCTGAGGCCCGAAAGCTGCAAAATACAAAATGGTCTGACTGGCTAAATGAAGCATACAGAATGGATATACTAGGCCTCAAGTGGATAACAGTAAGGAAGTTGAATGTTGGGAGGATGCATAGTTCCTGCCTGAAACCTCATCTGCATACATGACAACATTCAGCCCATCTCGAGGCTGCAGCGCTGTTAATATTTGAACTCCTGCTACACTGTCCACCACCCACACGTTAAACAACACAGAGCTCCTTCCATTAACGGCCCATGCTGTTCATACAGAGTGGAAATCAATAAGAGTGAGGATAATATATATGATTGTTTGTAGGGTGATAAAAAGCACCAAAACAAGCGGTCTATATGGGTCAGTGCTTGGAACAACTAAATGAAATCGCAGAAAATATAAGCAAAAACAAAAGTGTAGCTAACTTTGGGACTAACTTGCATCAGTATATTAAACAGGTAGCAAGCATGGGGACTTGACTTGGGTCTTTGGGAGTTGTAGTATTTATTCACCGACAAATAAACTATACACATTGCTACGTTCAAAGCCACAGCATTACTGCTCACTTCAGACTTATGAGTTCTCAGAAACCTTGACAGAGAAATATTATGCTACGTAGACTAAAACTCCAGCTAATGATGCATGCACAATTGTGCCTGCAAACTCTCCTGGAAGGGGGCGCATACACTGCATCCCCGATAAATTATGATTTAACCTTTTTGTGCTTCGATAATTAAGTATCTCTGCCCTATAAGCAAGGTCATGCAAAAAACACACATTAACTAATAGTTTGCACTGCTGTCTGAGGTTTAAAACATGTGTACCTGATTATAATACATCCTCTGATGCTCTAAGCAGACATGACTGACCCCAGATTCACTTCATATGAACACAACACTATTGCCAATTAAAAAAAGAAATGTAGTCACTTCAGCTATTAGAAACTCCATCTTCTTTTACAACTTAGCCCCAGAGACACATTACAGGACCTAATGTCTCCCACAGGGTGTTTAACGGCCAGGTCAATTTAGTTCTCTGCTCAAATGAATTATAATAACTTTTTTATGGAGCAGAAGCCTAAGGGAGGGAAGGGAGAGTGTGAGTGACAGAGTGAGAAAAGTCATTATTGTCACCGCCTCTGCGATCAGAGGAATGTGGCAGGCGAACTGAGAGCGAGCTTGTGGAGATGACACACGGCACTTTGGGCGCTAGAACCAAACTCCCCCACTGGGTGAATCCTGATACTTCACAGGAATCACATCCTTGATATGTCACACGTAACTCTTTTGAGTTTATATTCTGTTATATTTATTGCATTCATTCATCCCTGGAGAGTTTTTAAAGTAACAACAATGTGTATGGATTTTGTAATAACCTAGGCAGTTTCGTGGAAAGGACAATTCAGATGTGAACTATGGACAGCGTTATATTGGTACACCCCTCAATTAATGGGTGAGCGAGTGCAACCTAGTCGACATAAGCAGAAACCCGTTACATCTTTGAGACCACCTCTACTTTTAACATGATATTCTGTTGTCCAATTATATTGTGTCCAATGTAAAACATTCAAATGATTAGGCTTCCAAAAATACATCTATAATGAAGGGATATTACTTGGATTCCAAAGTTCTTTCATGGTAATGTGTACTTTCCCTGTAATTACTACAACATGACATAGCTCTTTCCAAGACACTCATATTACTAGAAAAATATCTCTGACATGACTGACCAGATAATGTGTCATTTAAAAACATCTTCTGGTCATTTAGTCACCAGAGGAGAGATGAGTGCTGTGCCACAGCCGGAACCACAATGTAGTTTACGTGGGTAGATTTCGCTTGACAATTAAACCAGTTCTTTCCTTGTACCAGGAAACTATTACTCATTGAGATGTTGTAATTTCACAGTTAGCGGAGATCTCAGATGTCTCAATCCAACAGCTTTAGAAGTTACTTCCCTGTACACCTTTCCTATAAAAGGGAGATAACTGTGCTGTTGAGTAAGCCTTGTTCAAATAACTTTGACGCTCCCAGGTAATGCAATGCAAAGAAACAAATCAGAACTCTTGTTCTCAGTGTTTAGTTCCTGTAATGGAAAACCATCATAAGACTGCTCATCTCTGTATCTGTATGTTAACAAATTGCAGCGTTGATCACACAGTGTACTCTTCTAATTCTTTAACAAATCTTTACATTAACACTCATTAGTATGAGGTGTAAGGAACATGAGCCTCACAGTGGCCAATATCTCAAGGAAGCAGGAACAGTCTGTCATCAGATGGTGTCAGCGTGTTCCAAATATAATCTAAAGGACTAATGAACTATTTCACACATGCATAACGATGGATTCAAATTATTCCAGTACAAATAGCAGTTTCCCCAGAGAATCATCAACACTCGAGAAACAACCATCCTAATGCCATCACTTCTTCCTGGAAAAAGTGACACAAATGAATACAAACTAAACAGTTCCAAATAAATGTTTACGTATTGTGTATGTGCAAACCGTGTATATATACATAACTCCTGTGTTCACCCTTACGCCCCTACACACGGCGGCGTGCGTTGTCGCTTGCCGGCGGGGGGGGCTGAAACTCGACCAACAACCAATCACATGAATCTCCCGCCCCAGACACACAAGCACGCGGTTTGATTCAAGTCCGTAGGTTCGCCTCGTTGATTTGGTTTGAATCCAAAATACTGCCACACCGGAGAATCGAGATGTGTAATTAGGTTTTGTAACCAATTCCATTTCACTTTAAATTCCCCGCGAGTAAGTCACACGTTGTCTCCCGCTTGTTGCTATATTATTAATTTGGCTGCGACGCTGCTGCACGTGCACGCGGACTGTCCTGACCTGGCTGTGTGTCAGCCCCGCCCCTCACAGCGCGCCTGGCAGCCACAGCTCGTCTGGCAGCCACAGCGCTCCAGGCTAAAATGCTGGTCACATCTTTATGTAAACGGGATTTATCGAGCTCAGAAAAGTTATCGAGTCCATTTTTATTTATCGTACGATAAGTCAATTTATCGATTATCGCGACAGGCCTAGGTGTACCGTATACAAATATTTTAGCAAATTGATACTGTATCACAAACGTAATATACTCCCATTTCCGGTGTTCTGGAAACATTCAAACAAAACCTTTGTTCGATATTGCAGCCTGTGGAGAAAAGCGTACCTGTTGAGGTGGAGGGGCCTGCATGTAGCCCTGTGGGGGGGGCGGGGCCTGCATGACGGTCTGGGATGGAGGAGGTGGTGGAGGTGGAGGATGGGGGTGTCCAGTGGCAGGCTGATAGCCAGACGGAGGCGCCATAGGCTGACCCGTGGTAGCCATGATGTAGCCGGTCTGAGGAGGCGGGTGCTGGGTCAGCACCGTGGGAGGAGGCTGATACATGGGGGGGGGCTCAGGGTTCTCACTGGAGCCCTGCCGACTCAGAGTCATCTGGGTGAACTGTGGCACCAGATCTTCTCCCTGGGAGGAATAAGAAGGATGTTCGATTGCCACTAATTACAAATTATACGATTATTAGGATGAATCTAGATTACACAATATTTCATGTATAATAAAATAATACCTACACATTTCCCTCAAAGCCAGCACTCTAACAATGCCTGCTAGTATTCAGACATAAAGTGCGCTACAGAAAGTCACTGTATGAACCATCTACAGATATGTAAAACTATAGGTCACAATCTAAAGCTTTTTATATCTGTAGCAGGGTATATGCAGGAATCCTGAAGTCAAATGTAATACCTTTGAGTTTTACATGGTTACATTGGCGACACACTTTACCTCACATTTACTATATACAGTATTGATTGTCCTTCCTCCTTATCGTCCAACCATTTGGACGCAAACTTGAATTTCCCCATAACGATGTTGTTTAACAACCGGCGTAAACGGATCAATCAGTGAGCGTGCGATGTCCTGTTCAGATGACGTCGAATCCAACGGGACGCCATAAATAAACTACACAGAATCACACTACACACCTACGCAATGATTACATTCAGGCAAACTGTAGAATACAACCTCTTTGGACAATTTACCTTAATTTTCGGACTATAAGGCGCACCTGAATATAAGCCGCAGCAGCTAAATTGAATGATGTGTACATATATAAGCCGCACTGGACTATAAGCCGCAGGTGTTTTAATGTTTAATTACCATGTGTAAGGGTTCGTGCACGAGGGGATTGTCGGGAAAGAGATGGCTGTTTGAGGAAGCTCCCATTTATTAACATTTCAACAAACAAGTTGCATATTTGCATAACGTATTCAAGTGTTAGCATTTAGTGCAATAGTAGCTACAGAACATGTGCTGTGTAAACTGTACTGTATCACATAGCGTTTCAGACACACAAACTTTTCAACTTTCAAACTTAAACGGTGCGCTCCCAGCGCACGTTTAACACCTTTGCACAAACTGTCTCGCTCTCGTAATGTCTGTCTGTTTTGCTCTCGTTCTGCTTCTCGTCACACTCTCTGGTGGTTCCACTTTTACTATTACCCGCTCGCTCCTGTCTCCTCTTCTTGCGGTGCTTCCAGCTCTTTTCGGGTGCTGGAGCCCGCCGTTTCTAAAAAGGTGGGGGCGCGGACCTGTTCCAATTTGAGCCGTAGAGTTAAAGGTGGTGGGAGCGTGTAGACCTGTAAAACTCCGCATAGAAGAGGTCCCCTAGTGCCGTTTACGTTGTAAACAATTCCATCGGACTTATGACGCGCCACGGTGGTATATAAACGCAGGGTTGTAAAAGGGGAAAATAGGCGCCAGGCTATAGTCCGAAAATTACAGGGTATATACTTATCGAAACAAGCTCCAAAAATGCTATATAACTTGAAAATGCCGGTCTTAATACTTTTTTATGAGCCTTATTTCTCGCTAAATTGATTTTCACTTTTACATATCTTTTGATGACCCCGCGGCACCCTGTGTCATGATACAGGCGTGTTTCTCGAATGTCGGTGCGCTTGCTTTGGTAGCACTCATGTCATCGACAGTCGTCTTGCTTTCGAAGCGAGGGCAAGATACTTCTGCATGTGGAAAACTGAGAGTATGAACAGGCGAGCAAGGTGTTGGCAGTTTGTGAGTCTATGAGAGGCCACCCGCTTACATTTTCCGCCACAGATTTTGGGGAAATGGTCCGTGCGCAAAGCACATGTGGGATTTTAAGGACCGCGGAGTCTACACATGTGCAGCTCGAAATTTCTCCAAGCGAAGTACGCGCGGCTAGAATTCCAAGTATGCTGGACATTGGAACCAGACTTCGGCGGGCACTCGATGACGTAGTATGCTTGGATAGTGGCTCTGCAGCAGCTTTACTCCAGATTGAGAAACACCCACAGTTGTAGCTGCTGGCAATCGGTCTGTGCTTCTTCTTAAGTTTAGCGCTAGGACGAGTGTTCACTAAAGCCATAATGCTCCTTAACAACAGAGTAGAGCACTTGATATGAGTTTTAAGGGAGCACTGTGACATTTTGAAAAAATATCCATCTCAGGTAAGAGGATCAATATCAATGACCTTGTTTTTGATATTCATCTGCCTTTTTAGTTAAATGGTTCAAATAAACAGAATGTGGTTACATCTCACACAAATCAATATAAAGTGCTTGGCAGACCAAAAGCAAATTGCCAAATAAGGCAAAAACTCTTGCTTTTTTTTGTTCACAGCAAGACACATTAGCTTGATGTACATGCGACACCGCAAAGAGGCGCGTTCACACCGCAGCACTTTTCCCACTTTTCGTCCATGTGTGAGATCTCTTTAGTTTTCATTGAACTAAGTCAGATCTCGTTCACACCGGAATAAGTCCCTGGGGTAGGATTAGGCAAATGAAGCGGCTGACGTCACTTCTTTCTGCTGCTTGGGTTTAATGCAGCCCGCAGACAACAACTTCACGTGTGTATACTGGCCGCCCCAAATCCCCGGCCGGGAAGTTCCCGGAGTTAGGGACTGGCTTCAGTAGAAGCTGCTGGGAACTCCAGCAGCTTCCTACTGAAGCCTTCCGGAGTTAAACCGGCCATGTTTTATTTTGTGTTGCCATAAGTTAGTCTCTCTGCGTCTGTGCGCTGGGCTAATGTTAATGCTAATAATGCTAATGCGAGGATAATAAAATGGCGGCTTCACAAAACTTTTTGGGAGTTTTACGGGGCGTGTTTTGCATTCCGCCCAGCCAATCAAACATAGGAACCTTTTTTTCCCACGACTGAAAAGAGGGTAAAAAGGTTCTCATTAACTAATTTAGTTCCTGGGGCTTTTTGGTGTGAACGCAAATATATCGTAGTTCTGGTGAACTATTGTGGGAAAAGTACTCCGGTGTGAACGCGGCTAAGGAGTGGCAAATACATTAAAGATTAGTCTCTAAAGATTTGTTGATCATCAAATATATGATTATTTCCTGATTGTGGTTATATACCTCTGAGAACATGGTATGAGCGTTTAAGACTTTAAGGGTGTCCTTAATGCAGTATTTGACTCATGAAAACACAAGTGGTGTCAGTACCATTGTGTACTGCTGGGGAGGAGACACTGGCAGGAGAACCTGGGGGCAGGAGGGGCTGGAGTAGGAGATAGGCTGAGAGGGCTGCAGAGTGGCCACCGGCTACACACATCACCAGGGAGAGGGAAGAAATAAAGAGGCAGAGCAGGGAGAGAGGACGGGAGGCAGACGCAGGAGGATAGAAGGAGACAAAGATAAATGAATACATAGGACGATGAGGGTTAAACATAGAGGGAAAGTTGTTAATGAACAGATGAAAAATGTTTATCTTATGTGGTTTTAGAATATTTCACCAAAACAGTAAAACGAGGTTTACAAAGTGAGCTACTACTCTAAAAAGAGACAAAAGAGGAAATCTCTGTCATTTCATAAACTGTTGTTGATGTGTAATCATGTTAGCTTGTTGCTCCAATGTACCTTATCTTTAGATGGGAACAATCTGAGGCTAGGACTGTAATAAATGATTATTTTCATTATCAGTTCATCTGTTGATATTTTTTACATACAAATGATTCATTGTTATGTCCATTATATGATAGATATTAGTACAAAACAATGTCCCTCACAGGTTCCTAAAAGTCAGAGGAGATGGAAAAGTACTACATGATTTTTTTGTTGTCAATTGAGCACCAGAATAAATGACACCCTAATTAACTTGAAAGTGCGTCTTGGTCTTACCGATATGCTTGACGTAAATACATATAGTGGCGGTACATACCTGAGCGATCATGTGGTTTCCCATGGGGTGCTGCTGTGGGGTGGGCAGCAGGGCGGTCTGGGGCGGGACCTGGGGCTGCGGCTGCTGTGACGGGCAGGGAAGAAGGCTACGGCTAGACTGGGAGGCTGCAGGCGGAGGACACACATCAGGACTGACTAGGGACAGACCTAGTGATGCAGAAGAAAACATGAAACAAAAAGATAATACTGCAGATGTTTCTGGGTTGTGAGTGAAATACTGGCTAGTGAGGACTAAGGGGAATGTATTATTATGGTATGCGTGTGGAGTCGTGGCGAAAGATATCAGATTGGCATGTCGCAATATTAATCTAAAATATACCAATTGTTGATATGTTAATTAATCAGATCACTATCAAATTTAATATTGTTTGTTTAATAATGTTTTCATGGCAAGTCTTTAACTTTAGTTACTGCATTTTTCATTTAATACTATTTCTTGGTTAAAAAAAAGAACAATTAAAGATGGAAGAAAACATTCAAATGAGGATAATACTGTTTTACCAACAGCTTGCAACATATTGTTGCATTATGTGTTGTTTCTTAAAACTGCTGTGCTAGCAGGTTTCTGTAAGTATTTAGTTAGTGCGGTTTAACCTACAGGAGTTTCCAAGAGTCTATGTAAAAGAGGAGTCAATGAGTCAAATGCACCTCCTGATGTCTTGCCTGAATCATCTGTCGAGCAGCTAAGAGTAATAACTATTAGTACATTTTAGGAGAACGCTCAACAATAAAAAGCCAACAGCTAGAGAATAATAATTCCGACTGGATCAAATGGCTTGAAATCTGTTTGTGCTTCACTTAAGTAGCTTTTGTTGTATTAGTAATGGTTAATAATGTATATAAAAGGGTGTGGTGTTTTAAAAGTGAGATAATGCTAGCATTAATGACATACAACAGAAAGTCCTTAATATGTCTCTCCTTTTTCTTCACTTTTCTTCACAGTGCTTACCAGAGCGAGAGCCTTTGCAGCTTCCCTGCGAGCCTTTGTTGCTGCCAAGGCTATCCCCTCTGGTGAGGATGGAGATGCCAGAGAAGCTGCTAGCCTTGGTGACGGGTGGCCGGAGGGTGCGGTTGGAGCTGTCTGAGTCGGTGCTGCTCCAGGGCCGTGGCTCCAGGCACTTCATGTCACTGTCTGTGCTGCTTTGACGACTGCTAGACGCCCGGCTGGAGCTCTCACGGTTCCCTCTGAGAAAAGACAGCACAGGGAGGAAGAGGAGAGAGACGAAGAGATGAAAGGAAGGGGATAACATGGGGATGGAGTAGGATAAGAGGAAAAGAAGAGGTAAAGTAAGGAGAGGTAGGAGGCAGCAAGAGAGAGATAGGTAGAATGCAGAGTTGAATTTAGAGGAGGAAAGAGACACAAATGTAAATGGGTAGAGGGAGGAATATATAGAAAGGGAATTGTGTAGATGTAGACCGGGACAGAATGAAAGTGAAAGACAAAACAAGATAGAGGGGAGAGCAGAAGAGAACAGTAAGGTCATCAACAGGTGGAGAGGACAGTGTGACAGGCTTCATTTAGGATGGGGCATTCAACACCGATGCACATTGGCTGGTTTAGTTAAACCACGATACAAAGAACAGGCAACATACCACCAACAATATTATATCCCATTTTAAACATCTAACCAAACATTCACACGCACAAACACACATCAAAACCCATCCACAAAGGAAAACATACATGCAGGCAGAAAAGATGCTCCAGACAATCAACAGGGGGGGTGTAACGAGATGTCACGGTGACACTGGATGAGACAAACTTCCATGAATTCATCACAAACAGCATCAAAGACAGGAGACACCATTCACATTAACAGAATGAGCATTTGCATACATTCATGATATCTTTTTTAACACATACATTGAGATAAACAGTAACACATGCAATTTAAAACCTGTTATATTGGACACAAAAAATGACATACAAACAGGACACACATACACCTGTAAATTACACTCAGACTCACACACACACACTATCTACAAAATAACAACTGGTTCTTTAAACTGTACTGCCGTAGACACACTCATTGTGTTGTTGTGATGCTGTCACCCTGGATAAAGGCAGCTGCCAACAAACCATCACTCTGGGAAAACCCCTCTATCACAACTGAATGGTTCAGTCCGACATTGTCATGTCAGCATTAGAAGTAGTAGCGCTTCATTTAAATATGTCCTAATGTGATTTAAAATAACACATTTGAAACTTGGACATGGCCTCCCTTCACAAAGACACTAGAGGGTATGATTTGTATTCTGTGTTTAATACTTATTCCCATGGTTAACTAACCTCCTTATTTTAGTAAAAGAAGAAAAGTTAAATAACATTTTATGTATTACAAAAAAGGGGGAAAAATTGTTTAAAGTTTCTACTACCAAGTGTCTTCGTCATTATAAGTGTTAGTTTTGAATATTAATGTTTAATCACACAATTAATTAACATTCTGATATCCGGAGATCTTGTACAATGTCCACTATGTTTACGAAGATTTACTGGCTGATACTCGGTTACCGAATCCTTTTTGATCTGAACCTAGCTTTATTTGACAGCCTTACTTATTTTTTTCCTATTTTGTTGTTGACAAAACAATCAAAGTTAGCTACACATAGTGGTGGCGTAGCATTAGGTTGAATGTAGGCTCTGCAGGTCAACAGAGACCTGTGACATTAAGCACAGCAGAGTAGGAAAAAGCCAAGTTAACTCTTGTTTTCTTTAATCCTCTTAGCACTGTAAGAGGGGTAACAAGAGAGTATGCCGATGTGAAAAGAACAAGAGTGAAATGAATTGAAAACATGCAAGGCTGATTGTGGGAATCTCTATGACGAGAACTGTGATGTGGTATGGGTTGTAAAACGCGAGCGATAGTGAGTGGTGTTTGAAGGTGGCTGTGGCTGATAAATATTTCAGAGGGACTGTAATTAATGGAGGATCTATTTTGAGTCTTCTCTGCACAGCCTATTTTAAGGGAGGATGGGTGCTCTGCCGCTCTCTGTGAAGGGAGGCGCACACTTGTTCGCTTCGCTCTGCAGACAAAGATGAGAGCAGGAGGGAGAGGAGGAGGGATTCTGCTGCTGATCACATGATCTTTCATTTCCACTCTCTGATCACGACAGCATTCCCCATCACACGCACAAGCAGGGGAAGCAAGGCTGCTTATGTGCCTCTATCCCTCTCAGGCTTTGTTTTAAATGGCTACATTAAACCATGCCCCACAAAAGAGGTTCTGGTTTATTTAGGTGAGGACTGTGGTGTTATGCTGTTATTAATTAACAGCATGGGTTCTGCAACACCTAATATCATTGACTCAGTTTGCTGGGTTTGGGGTATAAGGCTTGTTTTCAGGTGAACTCTAAAAAGACCATAACTTAACAATGCCATATTATTAAATTACACATTGTATGGCAACCTGTCATGACATTCCTGCAAGAATCAGAAATATTAGTGATAAGCAGGGAATAAACAAATAGTCCGCACATAATTAAAGGGTTCAAAGATTGAATGTATATTAGATACTCCTAGATAATGAAAAGTAAAAACGAAATAAACTGTTGCCCTTTATCGCAGAAACGATTAGTTTACTTATTAAAAACATGTATTGTTTTGTTAATCCTCTACAACAGTACATAAAAACAATATAAATGTGTCAACTTGGATTCATGAAACACATTTAACACTACTCGCTAATATTGTTTGAACAAAAACTCGTATTGCTTTAATTAAGAAAATGAATATAGCCTTTCTGCACTCTAAAATTCGTATTATTTTTGTCAGATTGATAGAACAATTGCATATACGTACCGTTTACATTTTCTCATATGCTACTATGCAACAGGTGACATGTTAACAAAAACTACAAGACTAAGTCAACCACAAAACAAACAGGTTACTGTGGAAGCGATGCAGTTACTTTATATCAAAATGTAGTTGAGGGAGGATGAGTGGAAGGGTAAGTAGGTCAATCAGTCCCCAGTGAAACCACAAAGCAGCCATGCATGGGCCATGGGAAGCCCCACAGTGCAGTGCTGGAATAGCCATCAATCAGCCGACTACGCAAAGCAAAGATATAAAAACCACCACAAGTCACCACTATCATCACCAAACCACTTTGAAAGAATGGGCATGGCAACACAGAAGTCAAAGTCAGCAGCACCCCAATACCTAAAGATCTGCCTCCTCTTTTGAGAGCTAGAGCAGTAGCCCTCAGTGGAAAGTCTGTTGGGGTTAACATTAGGAGAAAATGTGGGGGTTACAGGACTGCATTGGAGAACAGGAGGGGGTTTTGGGAGGGGGAGATAAGGTGGGAGGTAGAGGTAGGCAAAGTGTAGAACTTTTACCCTGCAAATAAAAATAAAAAAGCACAGAAGGCAGAAACTTTGACTATTGAAAGACCCACGCTGCTCTTTCTCTCATACTCTGTCCTAATCTTTCAACCTCAATGGCCAGGATGCCAAGGGATGGAGGCTCACTAAGTGCTGTGTGAGATAACTCATTCCTAGAAAACATTTGTTCCATTACCGACTAATCTTTCTTAAAGACATCATGTCTTCCCTCACAGTCTAACAACACTTGGAGAGAAACCTCAGCATGTGCATATTAATCACAGTAAAAGAACAGGGGCTACAGTAATGTGATCAAATTTAAACAAATAAATCAGTATATATAACCGGTACACTATGTTATGTTGATGGGTCTACAGCCCTCTCCATTTGACATAACTGGAACTTAACAAGCGTTCTGTAGCTTTAAGGGGAAAGGTGGCAGAAATGCAGTATAAATACATTGCACACATCACAGTCTCCACTAGGATGAATCATCTTACCTGTTGTCATTGATGTATCCATTTTGAGAGGACTGTAAGAAAAAGGACACCTGCACATTATGAAATGCTTCATTCATCCAGACGGCCAACATTTTTTTCAAAACAACCTTTCAGAAGTTTTAACATTTTAAATGATTGTATTTTGCATGTGACATGGTGTTTAAAGTAGCTGTTCCCATAGTTTGATAACCTGCATTAAAATTAGAAACCTGTTTTGATTAAACCCTTCAGGCCTCTATTATCCAAATGAAACAATGAGATAAGGTAAAAACAACTGTTTACATCTCGCAGACATGCACCTAGGGATCATGCTCTGTATTAACGGGTCACAAGCTAAACACACTGGAAAACACCAACTTCAGATATCAATAACACCACGTCTAAATTCAACATTTATTAACAAAAATGTACTGTCCAATTTGGACCTTTTGACATCTCACTATTCAAAACCCTTCCAGGTCCAATACTTACTTCTCGGGCAAAGATCCTATCTCGTACCCGCTGATACTCTTCCTCTCGCTCTTCAATGGACTTGCTACGTCGCCCGTCCTGCAGCGGCACACGGATCTAACATTTAGGAAAACAATCAAATGAATAAGTGTTACAATCCATTATTCACTTTGACAAAAATATGCTAAAGTTTTATGTAAATACAATACATGCGTAGCGTCCTTCGGTAAAGATAAGTAGCAACAAGTCACATGATAACAACAGTAGCATGCCATGGAGAGCAGCTGCTTGCCGTCTTAACAAAAACAACAGAATGGAAACTTTGCAAACTGAGTGTTTTGAGGGGTGGGAAAAGTGTGGGAAGATTTAACGTGATAGAACAAAGGGAAATGACAAATATGCAAACGCTTTAGGTGCCAAGAAAATGTGTCAATGTTTCAAACAAACACCGTCGGAATGATGAAAAAAGTGTGTGAAATTTCAGCAACAACTATAGCATATTATTCCTTATTATTTTAATCCTTTGTGGTTAAAAATGGAAGTGTAATGTGTGGTTTAAAACCTAAATACCTATGTTATTAAACTTCCCTCTGAAACAACAGAGATTTTTTAGTTGTGAGATTATTATCTGACTGTATACTGTTGTTTTAAATGTGCATCTTGCACCATTCCTAAAAGTGTCTGCAGTGTGGATAAACAGCACACGTGCGAGGCCTGTACTACGATGCCGGATTTTCGCTTAGCCGGCTAACTTCAGGGAAAACTCTGGGTTTCCGGTCCTACGACGCTGGTTCTCTTCTTACCGGGGTAGATCTCCATGGTAACTTATGCTGAACGGCTAGCCTGCTCCGGAGCAGGTTAGGTTCCAGGATAAGAGATCAACTCAGTGAAAGCACCGCCTGCTGACCAATCAGAGCTCCGTGTGCGGAGTTTAAAGCGATCAAGTCATATTACAGGAGAAAGGAAATACAGAAAAGCTGCCGTTGCAGGAAAGACGGCCGGCAAAAATCAACTGACTGTGTGAACGTGAACATTAATAGAATATCACCTCCCATCTTCAGAGCAATCGGACTATTATAACATTAGCGTTAAGAAAGCTTACTTAAATATCTGCCACAACATAAGTAACCGGATCAAAGTAACAGTATGTACAGTCCGCGGCACTGAGTGCAGACTTCGATGTGTCCCATTATCATTCATATCACGTCATAATCCATCATATATTTTCTTATCTGAGTCAGCTTCTTGAGCCGTATCTGGCCGTGCAACAAAGTGTCACGTACTGTATGCAGAAGTATTATTTTTAAACAACACATTAAGTTGACGAAACACTCGAGTCAAATGTAATTAAAGTCAGATCCACTCGTGTCTTAGACGGGGCAGTGATATCATAAATCTGTTAATGTACGCATTCAAACACTTTTTCTTTTACCAGCTGTATTCACCTTGCAGGTGCAACTATGTTGCTTTTATCCTGGATAAAGTGTTTAAGTCAAGATGTTTAAAGTTTAACGTCTTCATATGTCTAATATTATAGTTCAGTTTTCATTCAGGAAGTAAGACGCTGCACTGTCAGTACGCTTCGCCATGTTTGCGATTGCTCAAATGTTGCTAACCCCGCCCCTTTCATGTGAACCACGTGCACTCAGCCGGACAGAGAAACCTGGCTTGAGTTAACGAGTTGATAACCAGCGTCATAGGACCGCTTAGCGAGAGCGCGTTTGTTTTGGGTTAGTCAAGCCAGATAACTCAAACATATCCAGGGTCTGTTGAACTGGATTCGTAGTACAGGCCTCTGGGTTACAGTTGTGTGGCTCACACTCAGGAAATCAACAAACAATGGAGAGATATTCAATACATTGCAAATTGAAAAGTGTGTGTCATTTATAGAGACAGTATCAATAACATGCAATCTACTGCATACAATTGCCCTGTTATTAGTTTAGTACAAGTGTTTGCATTCGGTAATGCTGAGTTGTTCTATCTCTATAGTAATAACTCAAAACAAGGGGTGGACAGACCTGTGATCTTTTGGACTTAAACAAAACCTAAATGTGGCGGAAAGGTCTCCTCCATTTTTAGTACCAAACCAAGTCTTACAGATGGTTAAATCTCCCTCCACATGCTAATTTTCACCTGTGTGGTCACACCCACCTGAGAAACTCAAATAATGTAGTTATCTCAGTTGAAACTCTGCATGCTCTTAAACAAAGCTACAATTGTTTCACCGATTGACTCTTCTGTTAAAATCCCTATCTTTTTTTGAAAGAATGGCAGGGTTATTTTGAATAATTCACACATAGATGATGCTGCAGCACTACCACTCCTACTTCCAGATGCCAAGTTAACCTGGGGGCTCACCACTGGAAATGTGTGAGTGTTAGATTCACAGCCCAGCTGGCATCCAAAGAAGACTGCCTTTTTTCATCTGAACTGGAAAAGGTTTAAAATAGTTATATTCCATCACATCCATCTCTGCCGACTGACAGCTAATCTAACAAAGGGACAAAACCCACATAGAATATATTTGTAAGTAGATCGGCAAATTCGTTTTATTCGTAGACAGATCTTTACACCAGATTCATTTTTTTGTTTTTTAAAATAGTGATTTGGGGTATAGCCTGTGATAGTAAAAACTAAATAATAACATTGGGTGTAAAGTTCCTTTAACTACAGTGCCACTATTGTTCTATAGTAGGATATATGTAACAATGTGACGGTACAATGCAGTTTACCTGATTATCATCCTTGTCCATGCTGGCATCATCTCTCTTCAGGATGAATTTCTTCTGGAAGTCCATGTTACGTTCATCTTTGATGTGTTCAGAGAATCTTTGTTCTGGGCTGTAAAGGACAAAAGACATGATTTTAACATTCTATAAAAAACTATACAAAATATTACTTTACTGCAACATTTGAGAAATGGAGAAAATTAGCAAGGCAACAGCAAAAAATAAGTACATCAATTACTTTTCTGACAAATAGACTGTCAATTGTCAGCCAAGAAAAGTAGTTTCAATGAGAGAGGGTCCCTCTATTTATTGTGTGGTATTTCATATTTTAACCATAAGAGTGACTAACCCATTTCCCTTCTCACTATTTAGGGAACTTAAAGTGATGCATTTTTAACAGTTTGGCATTTGTGTTGGTGGTTTCCCCATCAGCCCCTAGATTCCTCATCAATGACTTTTAACTTGTGTGGATTCCTCCGGCGCGGTGATGCTGCTTTCAGCTTTTAAACAAACCTTCCCTTGGATTACATTTTGCTGCTCGCCAAGTGTTTGGTTCAGGTGGTTCTTCATCCTGCTCACACACAGTGTATAGTTGTGGGATTCTTGTACTACCCATATGCTGTAGTTGTAACAGCAATGTTTGTTTTTGTGTGTTGTCCAAGAGTGTTTACATTACTTCGTGATTTCATTTGCATACAAAAGCCCCGAGTTAGTCCCCTATTGACACCATTATAATCCCTGTATTAAGAAATGTCTGAATAAAGTATAATGCTTCTTTGACTGTTTTATAAATTCTGGAATCATTTCAGTACATTCTTTGCATACCTATACTGTATAGTCATCGGAATAAGATATCATTTAGCTGCTGAAGTCTGAACCAAAGTTAAGAGCAGCTCTCACATGCGAGTGTTGCCAGTCTTGTTGATGATGACAGCCTTTCCCGTCTGATCCACGTTGTGGTCCATGCCGAAGTAGGCCGCCACGCGGTGAAGCAGCATGCGGTGATAGGACGTCATCTGAGGAAACTTCTTATACTGGTTACTGCGGAGGACACAAAATATGGATTAACATATGATATTTGAATACTACACTGCAAAATGTGTTTAATGTCCAGTCTTCAAAATTAAAAGTACTAAGAGTATAAAAAGAAAAGAACCACAGCATTACAATTAATTGGTAAACTATGTCTCTTTTGTTTGAGGCTGTAATGTGTACATTTCTTTTCAGCATTTAAAATATTTTGAGAACATAACCCTCTTAGGTTTGTTCTGCTAACAAATGGATTTGCATTCTAAGGGCTTGGGCAAAACACCAGGCTGTCTGAAATAAAAATGGTAAAAACACCAATTCTTCATTCTTGTAACCTTGGATTTTCTTCTGTTGTCTTGTTCCCTACATAATGTTCCTCTCAGAGTTTGCACTGCTCTGCTAACAGGGGTTCACTGAGTCCAAAGCTAGAAACACTGTCTGGCTAAACTTAAAAAGAAAGTCAACTACTACATGCCATATTTATCTTACTAGCTCAGGAATCTATAAATAAAAAGGATGGCTGTAGAAAGTCTAAATTTAAATACAGGAGAACGTGGCTTACTTGTCGTCATTAATGAACTCCAGGATATCTTGTTCTAGTTTGAGCAGCATCATTCGATCCCTGTTGGGCCAAAGTGGGAGAGGGAGAGAGAGAGGACGGGAGAGATCAGAGGGGGGAGTGTGTCAGTGACTAGAGTGCAGCGAGCATACCAAACAGAGATCAAAAAGGTATGATATATAGCAGGGGTGCCCAACCAGTCGATCGCGATCTACCGGTTGATCGCGGGGAGATTCCCAGTCGATCGCGAGATGTGTCTAAAAATAGAATATTATTCTGTTTATCGTTAATGTCCTATAACATAATCTTCCTGTGCCAGAATAATGCACTTGAACGCATCAAAGCTTTGTGATTGGCCGGCGTGACCCCATGTGTCGGGCGTGGCTGGTGGGCAGTGGATTAGTTCGCTGACGTTGTCCGCGTCAACAGGAGTGACAGTCCGCACACACACAAGACCGCAATTATGGCAGAAGCAAAAAAAACCAAGATATATAATTTTCACTCCGAGTGGGAGGATGATTATTTTGTTATCTATTCCAATTCAAAGTCCATCTGTCTCATCTGCAATGCGAGCGTGGCTTTATCGAAGAAGGGTAATTTAGGAGCGGCATTTCAAAACAGTGCACAAACGCTACGAGACGGAATTCCCTCCTAATTCTGCCCTAAGCTCCCAAAAGGGGAGGGACCTGAAAGGACAGCTAAATGCACAGCAGTCCATTTTCACCAGGCCCAACAAAAAGAGCAAGGCTATGGAGCTATTTCAGGGTCATAAGTTTTGATCATTCAAAAAAATACAATTTATTTGAAAGTCCAAGTTTTCATCCTGAACTTTGAAAAATACAATGTTGTATTCAAAATAAAAAAAAGTATTTGAAATAATTGTTCAGGTTGAATATTATTTTGATTCAGTTCAGTAATTTTTTTAAATAAAATATTTATTTTCACATTTCACTTTTATACATATTTCATATTTGAATACTTGTTTTTTTCAGTTTCAGATTTTACGTTTTCAGATTCAGAACAATAATTTTTTTCAGTTTCAAATCTTTTTTTTTCAGGTTTCAATCTTTTTTTCGCCTGCAGATCGTTTTTCACTTTCAGATCTTTTTATTTCGCTTTCAGATCTTTTTTTTTCGCTTTCAGACTTTTGACCCTGATATTGCTTCGGGGGGCGGGGCTTACCAAAGAGTAGTTTGGCACCCTGAGTGACAGCCCTCCCTCTGTCATGATGCCTTCATGGATGTAAGGTAGCGCAAGAAATACAACTACACACTTTCTATACACAATACTCCCGTGATTGGTGGTAAACAAAACTGATCCAGCATCAAAGTTCCGTTAAGCGAGCTGTTGAGCATCGTAGTTGGCAACAATCAAGGTATAAGAGCAATAAACTGTGCTAGAATCTGAAATCACGTATCCGCGATCAAGCGTTGTCCTTCCCCACTTCCAGTAGCTCCGTGAACGCAGCATAGTATTGGCTTGGTTTTTGCGATCAGAATCAGAATCAGAATACCTTTATTAGTCCCACAG